TATTTAAGAAAGTCCTCGGGGGATTCAGGAATGTTCGCGGGGATGTTTAACAGAGTGCTTCAAAGATTTCTTTTTTTCTCTCCAGACAATTTTTCCGAGAGCGTCTTTGGAAATGTGCCAGCAAATTGAAGACGCTAAAGACAAAGATTCGTTAAAGCGAAAGGACTTATTTCAGCGAAACGTAACCAAGCCGCGTGATGTAATACAATTTACCTTAAGACCCCGAGACCTTCGTCCACATAAAGGGTCGGTTAATCGCGTTAAACGATATCCCGGCCCATTAAAACGCATTACGTCGCTCTTCCCGCCGTCATTTGTAGCCGGATAACTCGCAATTAAGTGCGGACTCGGCGTCGCTCTGATTCGCGGATTAATAAATTGCGTCGGCCATTTTTCCCGACGAGAATAATCAGCTTGCTTCATCCGCGTCGGATGTAATGAGGTGATTTTACGTGGCAGTTAACTCTACCGCGAGTTACGCGTCACGAGATGAGATACGGAGTGTTTGCAGAATTTGTTACTAAATATTGACGACGGCTCGCCAAGGCACGAGAACAGAATTCCGGGGCGAATTAACTTTCGGCGAGCCGGCTGGAAATTAACATTTCTTAATCCGATCTCGTATTTCCTCATCCGGAATCCTCGAGAAGTTGTGAGCCTTACAGAAAAAAAAACACAAGAAACATAGAAAGTTTTCTTTCCTTCGGCTTATATAAGCAGCGGAATAAATTATAAGCAGTGTTAAACGAACCGCCTTTCTCGCGATTTAAACAGACCAGCGCGAGTCCTCGTTTCTTCGTTTGAATCAACGTCGCGATTCGGACTGGTGATTTTCTCGACAGTTCCGTGTTTTCTGGACAGAGCGTATGCGCCTCGAGATTACACACGAATGGGAAAAAAATATTTTGATTTGATGCCGCGGAGTGGCGCGTTCCATTGAAACAGATTGTGCAACAAAGCGGAAGGGATACTTGCATGCGCAATATGAATGAACACGGATTAAGTCTCGCATGCAACGGTGCTTCACTGTCAAGATAACAAGCATTAGCTGGTTTAATTATAACGCCGCTAAATGAAGTTCCTCCGCCTTAACGAGCTTTCGTTCCACCGCACTTGTACAGTTTCATATTGCTACACGCCTGCATATTACGGCACCCCGACACACCCGATATGCAGTCGACTTGCCAGGTGGTTCTTCGCGTAGGAATTTTTCCGCGGAGTATCTTCTTTTCGCGGAAATCTGGCAAGTTCGCGGGATTAATTAGGCGACGCATCTCTTTGTGCCAATTCCCCTGGCACAATTCTGTCTTTCGCGACTTTTCTCTCGGGAGCTTTCCCCGTGAAAGAATTCATCCAGGCACGGGGAGTGCCTCGTCGATCTCTCGGGAGATACTGGTTTCCGACAAATATGTGAGTCATAATGAAAAAAGAGCAATGTCACGATAAATCAAGGGGCGACTCGTGCCGCTCATGCGGTGACACGGTACGCGCTCGCGTTGTGTAATTCGACTTAATGTGCACGCGCTCGCGTGTCCAAGGTACTTTGGCGTGTCGGGCATTCTCTGTCGAGATAAATAATTCACTAGAAGACTGGAAGAAAGGAAAAGAGAAGCAAAGAAGTGAAAAATGAAGAAAAAAGGAAGAGATTCGCCCGCCATTGCGCGCAGCGACTCTCTCGTGTCACCTCGACTTTCTTCTCTCCGGCACGCTTTTCCATCGTTTGAACTCCCTTAATTCCGGGACACTCCGCAGAGCGAGATGAAATACGAGGGAAATTATACGGATGCGAATGCCATTGCGAGATAAATCGAACTCGAGAAAACTCCACCTTGACGTAAAGTTTAAACGTCGACGCGAAAGTTTACTCGAGCGTGCTCCCTCTTTTCACGCTTTATTCTTGGACACCCTATGCATAAAGCGGCGCGCGACCTATCGATGTATGCCTACGACATATGTTTGACATTTTCAAGTTGTTTCGCACGTGCTGGCTATGTACAAAGCGCGGGTTCGGCTCTGCGGGCTTGTTCACACAAGCTCTCTTCCCGAGAGACTATCTGAAATTATTTAACGATCAAGAAATAACAACTGGCCGCGTCTTTTAGTTTTCTAAAAATTCGTGGTCGATCTGAACTGCATCGGTTGAAATAATTTGAATATCGAGTTGCACCAATTTAATTTCGGAAGTATACTAAATTCAGTTAATGCAGTTCCATCTTGAAAATTGAGATATCAAATCATCTAGTCAGGCGCAACAAATCTAAATATTTGTGCATCATGACTGTGGACCATTCGAGTAATAGGCAACGCTGCTCCAAAGCAACGATCTCCATATGTCGGCTTGACAGCTTTACATTAACCTATGTAATGCGAAATATGAGCGCGCAACGGATTGATAATCTAGTTTAGCAAAGAGATGTTTCACAAAATGATATGAAGGGTGAAATGAAGGCAGAGAAGCAACAGGAGGGGGCCACCACGTCGCAAGTGCCGAAATTAACTCTGGGTGTAAAAATAATATTTGTGTAAAATTATCCTTAGCCTAGAAATGGTGTGCGAAGAGTGTATTTTTATTGAAAAAAGCCATTTTATGAAATGTAACATTGAAAGTTTTTCTTTTTGCAAATCAAAAGTATAGCGTCTGAAATATGATATAACGCATAAATAACACATTTTTTATCAAATATCGACAGTCCCAGAAATTGAAGCGAATATTTAGTTATGTCAGTGCATTGAGTTACATTGTGTTAATGTTGGTATATATCGTAAGTTCGAAGCATTATTTACGTGGAAAGAAATACACTTTCTGCGCAAGTGTATTAGTGTGTGTAAGCGATTTAGGAGTGAAAAACTACAGCTAGAAAGCAAGTGCCAGGCACGAACGCTAGCGACTCTAGTTGAATTCAGTAGAAATAGACGGAGAAAATATTTTTTAAGACAGAAATGTAATTGTATGTAAAGCTAACCTAATGCATTGTTGGTCTGATTTACTTAACCTCTTATCAAAGCTGGAATTATTTGTATTACGCGATTAAATGAACTTTCTGAAATGTTTATATTTATATAGACATGTTTAATGTTTATATTTATATACACACTATGTTCCGGTTTAATGATTTGACTCGATTTTTATTCAGTTTCATTCGCTTGCAGTTTGTCCGATAAAATTTGCGCAATTTTGAGACCTGGTTCGTTTCATTCTTTCGTTCGTTTCGTTCGTTTCAATCTTTTTTTTTTCAATATGAAGATCAGTTTCTTATCCTCCTAATATGAGCAATTACGAGACGTGCGCGCGCTATTTATTGTAATCCGGCCACTTTGAACCATCGGATTTTCCCCAGAGAAGCGCCACGCTTCCCTGGTGTATCCCGCATTGAGTAATACTTTTCTCTAGCGGATCCCACATACTGTAAAATATCGGACGTTTAAGCTTCTGCTACGAGCGTTGGGTCGATAAGATCGATGTCGTACCGGGAAAATGCATAAAACGGGGAACAACCGTGACATTATGGCGTGGGGAAACACAACGCTTCTCTCTCGCGCGTCGCGAGAACGGCTTCAATGTGAATGGCAAAATTGGCCATTACACGTTTTTTTCGACAGCGCTCTATCGGATACTGCCTTGCAGATGAACACATGCGCGCGGGCACGTCACAAAGCGCGATAACTAGTCGGGGATGGATACGGAGGCGAGTTTTCGAGCTGCGTGTTGTGAAAAGTTGAAAGCGCATGACAAACGATGTAAAAGCTTTCTAAATCGCTCTCCACAAGTTCTATTAATCGTCACTAGTGGGTTTCTCTTTCTCTCTCTCTCTCTCTCTCTCTCTCTCTCTCTCTCTCTCTGTCTCGAGAATGAACTGCATATTGTTGTTTGCGAACGGAAGAACGTGCGCAAAAAAAGGATCACCTTTTGTGTGTCGACGACGATACAAAATGTTTCATGCAAAAGTGAGTAAACGAGAGTAAACGAAATAAAAACATATATATATATATAGCAAAACCATATCTGTTACTTTTAGCGAAAACGTTACGGCAGGCTTGTAAATAATAGTGTAAACATAAAAAAGCAACATCGGTTTGTAACATACTTGTGTCGCGCGACATTGTTATTGGAAAACGCTGAAAAATATACATACACACAAAAAAATATATCTACAATCGGATTGTAAAGGGGGAAAGGTAACCATGCCGACGAGCAAGTCTTAATTGAGGGAACAAGATTGCCATCAGCCAGCGCGGCACGTGTCGACTCCAAATCGACTCAAAGGATCTCCCCGTTCTCGTCCTCTTTCCCTTCTCTGCTCGTGATTCCGTCGTTATTCGCCATCGGTTATTCAAGTCGGTGCTTACAAACAACACATTATACACGTGTCGGGTAATATTGTAATATTATTAATATTTAGGGCAGCGTAAGCACACGCATCCTGGAAAATAACGACGACGAGCGTTCCTGCCGCCGCCTCCCATTGTTTATCCCACATTTCGAGGACGAGTTTTGATCGGATCTATCCCCAGATGAGGTATAATTTGCATATCAAAAGGACCGGCGCGCTCACTTGCTTGCCGTGGAAATTGATGAATTTCCCGTCGGGAGTACACCGCGGTGTCCTGGAAAATAGTACGCTCCTCTCAGAAGAAGTCCTCAATTATGTCTGCTGACGCTAATGTGTGCGCGCACGCCGGCACAAGTTGCACAGTTATCCGACACTTAATTACCCAAAGTAATAAATCGATTTCTGCGACGCCATCCCGTAGTTCGAAACAGCACGAAGCGGTTTAACCGTCTGCCGCCTTATCGCTCCCCCTGCCCCACCCTCTCTAATGAATCGATTACCGTGTAACAACGGGCGCCGAGGCCGACGGTAATTTCGATCTTGGCCTTTCCCCTAATTTCCGGCCGCGAAATCGGCACGCTGGAGAAAAGTGCAGCCTCATGCTATCGCGCCAATTGCGTTTCGCGTTGCTGGAAAGATTTGCTCAAAGTTATGGGTTTCTTGTTTCAGGAAAATCATCAACTTGGAGATCATCGAGGAGGATTCCTACGAGAAAGACGCGCTCTTTTACGTCGAATTAGGCGAGCCACTGCTACAAGGAGGTGAGTATTGAGTTTCCCGATCCAGAATATTTCCCGATATACCTCCCATCCCGAAATCCCGCTTCCGCGCGCGCACTTCTCCTTCCTCCACTTTTTCCTTCACTTTTTATCTCCCTTTCTGTCTGTTCTTCTATTTCTCTCTCTCTATCTCTCGGTACAGGCTGAGGCATTTAAATGGGAACAGCTGCAGCGGGCAAATTTATGGTTATATGCTGCATTATTATTCAGTATATAATACAGCGTATAAAATTAGCATAATTTTTCTCGCCGGACGTTATGCGCACAATAATATAGTGTATTTTGGAACGTAAAAATATCCTGAGTAAAGCAACTATGAAAAATTTTATTGCATATATATTGAAAA